AAATCATAATCCATATCATGTTTATTTGTTTAACTTATAGAAAATCAAAACAAAAAAACTCAGCTGATAAACAATAAAAATTATTAGTAAAAATTATCCATCTAAAGACAGTACAGATACTAAAATGTGTATAATATATCGAGAAAAAAGATCTCATCACAGTGCTAATATATTAAGAGCAAATCAAACCTCTCAAGTCAAATTTAATTAAAATATTTTGATTTTAATTAACTACTGAATCACTTGAAGTAATTAAATAGAAGTGGAATGCCTAACTGCAAAAACACCAAGTCGAGAGTAGTTTTGTAAACAAATATTTTATAAGTATTTCAAAAGGTAAACTCAATCAGATAAAAGTGGTGTCCTATTCAATATAATTACAAAATATTAACTGAGTAGGAAACGATGTTTCAACTTTTTGACACTTTTAAAAGTATATCATCTTTACTATTTAAATTGGCTTATTAAATCTTCGAAAATGTCGAAAAACTTTAGCAAAACTACTACTCCAAGTTTCAGACGTCTCACAAAGTTTACTAAACTTAAAAGGATAGGCCAAGTATGTATCATAAACTAGTATCTTTTGATAAATATATCACCGTATTTTTATCAACAATATAAACAAAAATGACGATTTAATGCAAATTATTGTGAGGAACATTGATATTTACTCCTAGCTTTACTAAACGTTACTTACTAAATTGAAACAGAAATTTATATAGTTTTTTGCATAGAGTCTCTTAAGTGATATTTTAGACTTTCTGAGTATTTACAGACATGTGTAGGGGTACTAACTATAGAGCTGTAAACGTAAAATAAAGGCGGCAGCAAACCTGCAGAACTAGGGAGTTTCCTTGTCTAATTGGATTTTACTAAAGCATTAGATTTTGCTATAACATTAGATTTAGTGATTGAGCACTACAGGGAAGGAAAAGGTGTTTTTAAAGTAAAAAGTATAGTACGTACTATACTTTTTACTTTAAAAACACATTTTCCTTTTTAAAGGACTTTTTTTTGGATTTGGCTAATTTTATCGAAATATATCTATAAACAAGCAAACTAGCTTTGGAAAGTTGGATATTTCTATGTTTTATGAGTAAAAATTTGAAAAAAAACAAATTTAATTTTTTTTTATTTCATGACCCTCGGTTTCCATAACCCAATAATTGTTCGCAAACTCATTTAATCGAGTTTATCCATCACTACACATTCATGCCAAATTTCATCAAAATGGGATTATACTCGAGTTGTCGTGTTCACGGATACATAAATATTAAGTGTTTTGGAACGTTTGTGATATCAAAATAACAAGGTAAATCCGTAAATTGGTCACGGGTCTAATTCTTGCCCTGTCACCTACGGTAATAGCTTCTTCCCAACAGGGAAATTCACTACAACTCTTAGCAAAAAGGCATACAAATAGTGAAATCAGAACGTAGATTGCTATCAACTAATACAAAAACAAACAAGTCGTTTGTATTCTTGTTGAGACGCCTTTAGGCCTCTCCATTCACAGAATGTTTGGATTATACTTCTAATTCACTTAGGCCTTTAATCCGAGCACGTTTCTCGCTATGACACGTGGCTTCTCCTGACAAAAATTTTCATGGAATTTTGTTAGGCCTATCTTCCTATCTAAAGATTGAATGGAGGGTGATTTGTTTGTTAAAAACTCTAAAAGAAAACAATACCCATCAGCTCAGTCCAAGCACCCATGTAGAACATTTTTTTATGGTTAACTGATGTGTTATTAATTATAGTTATTTTATAGTTCAAAACAAGTTAATTATCCATATATACTTAAACTAGCTGGCCCGACATACGTCCTGTCTTAATGTGGTTTTATGTCAAATGCTCTTTCATTTTCAAGATGAGCTCGTTCGCATCGCTCAATCACGTTCTGGTTGAAATTATAGGTTGGAGCTCGTTCACTGCGCTCACTTTGCATTCAGGTTTAGTTCGTTCGTTATGCTAACTCACCTTTTGAATACAAGGGTTTTCTCTGACATGTTATTTGGGGTTAACTCTAAATTAAAATGGGTTTCTTTAGTGTTAAAACATGTTAAACCCAAATAACATGCATTAAATGCATATATCAAATTTTGATATATGAAAATTAGGTTTTTTGTTATTTACACAAAAACTAATTTAAAAAAATAATAGTTTTTTTTTATTTTTATTATTTTAAAAAACCGTCACTTGTAGCATATCACAGTAACGCTAATTTCATAACGAGTAAGAAAATTTAACTGGGGAAGGGCTAAGTGCATTGGCATAGGAAACACAGAGTATTAAAAATATATTGATTTTTTCAAATAAACTGCCGTTATTGGAACGGAAAAAGATAATTAATTTCTGTTTTTGCCAAAATTTTTGTCCTATAAATACCTTTAACACATAATATGTTTACATAGGAAAATTCCAAAATTTGAGATAGTGACCCTCAGTTTTTGGCACACCCTGTATCGGAAAAAAAATTTATTTTCGTTTTTCCTTGGGGTTGATTTATGGGGAAATAATTGTATTTCATCCTTGTACGTTAAGCCGTTTTTCCGTAATCAATTTTAGACACCTTCCGTTGGACACCCTGTATATCAGAATTCAACCTTTTTTGACAACATTTTGTATTCTTGACTCTCTCAAGTAGTGTGTGTCAGTCGCAACACGCTATAAGACAGAGTCTTTTGAATTTATTTAATAAAAAATGATTATAAACTTGTTTATTTTGTAGAATTGACAACGATTATGATTATGGTTTCCAATCCAATCAACATTGCAATAATGTTTCCAGACAAGAGTTTGTACTTGTTCTACAAACATTGAAACGATGTTTCTGCAAATGCTTCATTCACTTTGCGGAATTGTTGTACTAATTTTTTATGTAAATGGAATGGGTTTCATCTACAGGCTAATGTGATCTACATTACAGTTGTACTTGTTTGTTCAAAGTCTGACTTCCTCTACAAGGTTTCATCTAAATTGACTTGTGCAATTTTGTCATAATAAAATTATTTTTTCCTACAGTCACCCGACAAAGTGGGCTTCTTTGCACGATTATAGTAGAGAAAGCATGACTTTGGCGCACAATTTTTTACTTTGGCACACAGTTTTTACTTTGGCGCACATCAGTATTCCAACCAAGCAACACAAAACAGTGTGCTTTTATTAGGCATGTAATCCGTGTACACTTGTAAACGGCATTGAAAATAAGTTGGCAACATTTAAAGATATTACGACTACGATCAGCTAGTGTAGTGTTAGCGTTTTCCATTTCAATCAATGTTTGGATTCAACCTAACCTAAAAACGTGTTATACAGTGTTTGAAAGAATAATTATTTATATGATTTATAGTAACTGTAGGAAAAGTATAATGTGTAACAGGAGTGCAAAGTGCCACTTCACACTAGTCACACAAATAACTATTTAGCTGTATAAGAGAGTTACTTTTTCCAAAAATTTAAAATGCTTCAGTAATAGACCTAGTGGTGCTTTATAAAAAGAGCTAATTAAAATTAAACCTTTATAATAAGGGAGGGATATTTTTCTTTATATTTTTGGTGGTTCCAACCACCCAACGCATACCAAAGGACTGTTTGCATTACAATCTTGCTGTTTGTTTTGACAATAGAGGGATGGAAAAGCTACAGTGTTTTAATTATTTCTACTGAATAAACAGAACAATACAGAAAACCAGCAAAACTATAAAGTTCAAATGTCAACGTTTATTTGTGTAAACAACTCATGTTTATGTTATGTATATAGAAAAAAATATTTATATATTTATTTTAACAAACAACTATTTATTTAAATATATTTTTATCGAGAGTACATATAAATAAATTTTACCGTTAAATTTATGATATTAAAATATTGTTGCATGGTTTATCTAAACATTTATTTTTAATTTCCCTCCTCAAAAAATCCTTGTCGACAAACAAAAATTATAGTATCATATTCTTTGTTTTTGTTATCTTTAATTCCCCAATGTGAGATTCTATTGTTCTCTATAATGTGTTAGTTATCCCTGAGGCAATTTTACCAGCAACAAGGAAACAGTTCTGAAAACATTCTTCTTTGATAAGATTATCTGATTTTGATTTCATTCCAGCTTTTGAACATCAATAGGTTTACTGGAGTTGATGATTTTGACACATGTCCTCACATTAGCGTGTCAACACCCTTTTCATAGGTAAGTTGAGAAGAACTATGACAATTATGTTGGGTAAAATCACTGAAATTGCAATATTGTTTTAAATATATTTTTTACAGCATCGGGGGTTTACCATTTTGTACGGAGTTGAAAGAACCATAACATACTTGTAGAATTACACTAAATGATATTCAAAATATAAAAGAACCATTTTATTGAATTCTTAAACACATCAAACTAAGCAGAATATTTACTAACAAACTTAATAATAATAAAGCAGCTGATGTATTAATTACTTATACATTTAACTATCCAACACTTTTCCCCTCTTTCTTTTTACACGGATTCAACAGCTCCCATTCTTTGTCTCATCTGGTCCGCATGTTTCCTTTTTATAACACCTCCACAAAGTACATCATATGAGTACAGTCCATTTTTATTTTTCACCATTCCAGCTGACCAACCATTCCCATGTTCATTCTTAATCCACACATCTTCTCCTTCTTCAAAAGTTCGAACTTTTTTGTTGTCCCTCCCTTGTTCTTTCCAAAGCTTCATCTCCATCTTTTTCCTAAGATTAGGTTTCATATTGTCAAAAATTGTTGGTAGTCTACGACCGAGAAACAATTCTGCCGGAGCCCTACCAGTTGTTTTCTGAGGCGAGTTTCTGTAGCTAAAAAGAACATTTTGAAGAGCTAGCATTCCATCTCCAACATCCTGCTTTGTTGTGTAGAACCGTCTTTTCAAAGTACGAATTAGTCTTTCCACAAGTCCATTACTTTTAGGATGGTAAGGAGTTGTTTTTATGTGGTTGATAGAATTTTTCTCAAAAAATGTTTCCATTTCCTTTTATACAAATTGAGGTCCATTGTCTGTCACAATTTCACTTGGTATTCCATATCGACTAAACCAAGATCTCAATCGTTGAATGATTGTTGAAGAGTTTGTTGTCTTGAGACAGTCCACTTCTGCCCACTTTGACAAAGCATCAATACCTACCAACCACATAGATCCGTTAACTGGCCCTGCCAGATCAATGTGTACCCTTTCGCAAACTCTATCAGGTACATTCCAAGGATGTAATGGTACTTCTTCCACATTATCTCGATTCTCTTGACAAGATGTGCACCTCTTGATATAAACTTCGATATCTTTATCCATGTTGGGCCACCATACATAGTGTCGTGCTACAGACCTCATTGATACAATACCAGGATGTCCTGTGTGCAATATCTTCAGAACATCAGAACATCTCATGCATTCTGGAACTACAATTCTTCCAAACCACAATAATATGTCATCTTCAACACTCAATTCATCTTTCCTCTGTTTGTATGACTTCAACATTTCAGGAACAACAGGGGGCCATGTATTTCTCAATACAAAGTTTTTTGCCATTTTAATTGCTTTATCTGTAAATGAATTTTGTTTCAAGAGGTCATAAGACATGATAGAGTCAACCTTATCAACATTCAAAAAACCAATGTGAGCCTCCTCAGGTTGATCTTCTTCAATCGGAAGTCTTGATAGAACATCAGCACACACATTATCTTCTCCTTTTCTGTACTCTATGTCATAGTTGTATTGATTCAACTGGAGAGCCCACCTCACTAAACGGCTATTTACAACTTTTGGGAGATCTCGCATATTTCCAAATATCCGTTGTAGAGGTTTGTGGTCGGTTACTAAAGTAAACTTCCGACCATATACATATTGATGAAATTTCGTGAGTCCAAACATAATAGCTAGCGCTTCTCTGTCGACATTTGAATATTGTTTTTCAGCGGGCAATAGTGTACGACTGGCAAAAGCAATTGGTCTTTCTAGTCCATCTTCATATCTGTGCATTAGTACACTTCCCAATCCATTTTCTGATGCATCACAGACCATTACCAATGGTCTCATTTCTTCGTATGGCACTACTGTGTCTTTACTTGATAGAATTTCTTTTATTCTTTTAAATGTCCCCTCTTCTTGTTCGGACCATTTCCATTGTGATTTAGTCCCAGTCAGCTTATGGAGATCACTGCAAATGGCATGAAGTCCCGGAATAAATCGTTCATAGTAGTTAATAGAACCTAAAAATGATCGGAGTTCCTTGGCATTAGTAGGTGACCGTGCTTCTCGAATGGCTTTTATTTTTTCTTCAGTAGGATGTATTCCATTCCGGTCGATTTTATGTCCCAAGTAAGTCACTGACTCTTCAAAAAATTTGCATTTACTAGACTTTGCTTTTATACCAGCTTCTTTCATTCGTTTCAAAACCTCTCTCAAATTTCGTAAATGCTCGTTCTTATTCCTTCCAGTTATTATAATATCGTCCAGAAGAACTCCAACCTGTGGTATCCCAGCTAAGAGTCTTTCCATATATCTTTGGAAAATACCTGGACTAGATGATATCCCAAAAGGTAAACGTTTGTATTTATAGTAACCACTATGCGTTGCTATTACTAAATACTTTCGGTGTTCTTCTGCAACCTCCATTTGTAGGTATGCATCTCGTAGGTCTATCTTGGAAAACTCTTGTCCGCCTGCAACTTTATTTGTTAGTTTCTCAAATGTCGGAATAATTGCATTTTCTGGGACCAAATTTTGATTCAAAGTGTGGAAATCTCCACAAATTCTTATTGAACCATCATTCTTCTCTACATTAACTGTTGGGGTAGCCCAGGGAATAGGTGTAGCAGCAGGATCTACCTCTTCAATGATATCCTCATTTACAAGTCTTGTAAGTTCATTCTCAATTCGTTTTTTCAAGGGAAACGGAACCCTGCGCGCTGAAAAATGTTGAGGGTTTGCATCTTCTCGAACGTGAATTCGTGCTTTATAACCCTTGATTTTCCCATGCCCTTCAGAGAACACATCTTCAAATTCTTTTAGTACTTCCTTAACCCTCACATCATCCATCTTATATTGATTATGATTCTGCTTACATGTTACTTTACTAATAGTAACATCAGGAGGGAGGTTCATATTAAAGGCTAATATCCATGGTAAACCAAACAGCGGTTTCTCATTTCCATTTACTACTGCTACTTTTAATCTACGTGTCTCATCACCTACTGAAACATTGACATAACATTCACCAAGTATATCCAAAATATTGTTTCCATATGCCACGTATTTTGAATTAGTCTTATCAAGTCTTGGTGAACCAATTTTCTCCCAAAGAGGCTTACCTATCATTGAGGCCCAAGCTCCAGAGTCAAATTCCATGTTTGTAGCTACCTTATTTAACTTTAAATGAATACGTGCTTTACAAATATGTCTTCTTTCCTTTTTAACATCGTTTATCCTCATGTCATATGAGTCCGAATCAGATTCTTCATCTTCTGACTTTTTATGCAAATTATTCACTCATTTTTGTCGACATACCTTTGCAAAATGTCCTATTTTTTTACAATTCAAACACTTTTGTTGATAGGCTGGACATTTACCAAATTCATTCTTTGTTCCACATCTACTACATGGATGATTTGTCTTTTCATTGTATTTCACTTCTCTTTTAAACTCCTTATTGTTTCTTCTTACTTGTGATACTTCCAACTCTTTATCATTATTCTTGAATATCTCATGACGAGCTCTTTCCATTGAAGTGGCCAGTTCAAAAACATCTTCAGATGTTAACTTGTCACCATTTTCTTTTACCCCATCAGGCCATCGTTGTCTAATTTCTACTTCAAACTCTGGAAAATTTATACCTCCAGCAAATCTATCTCTTATTCTTTCATCAAACTTGTTCTCATACTTACAAAAATCTGCTAAATTTTTCAAACGTATTACAAATTCTGAAAGACTTTCACTATTTTCTCTGATACTTTTTTCAAATTCCATTCTAGCTGAAAATATAGTTTTACTAGCTTTGTATACTGACCTGAAACCAGTAACTAGTTCTGCCCACGTAGCCTGATGTACTTTTAAAGGCAGCAGAAAGTTTGGAACTTTTCTTAATGGTGCCGGACCCACATAGGCAAGCAAAAGATCCCTTCGAGCATCCTCTGATCTCTGAGAATCTTCTCCCAATCCTTTTACCTTGCATAACAATAGAAAATGTGCTTCATAACCATCCCACCTACTAGACTCATCATAGCTTTGACATTTGAACTTCTCTATCTTTGATTGTAATGTGTCTTCTTTAGTTTCATACTTATCTTCTTCATTGAATTAACTATTTCTTCTTTTGGTTCGTTTACTCATCGTCGCCAATGTAGAATTACACTAATTTTTTTTTTTTTTTTTTTTTTTTTTACAAGTATTTATTTACAATCTATTCTATACTAGAATAATAAGTAAATTTTATAACCATTTTAACATGGGTTAGTTACACTCCATCAAGTCCCCTAACATACAAAAAATTTTTAAAAGTTTAACTAAAAACGATTTGGAAGGTCTATTGGATTAACTCTTTTGAGCCTATATGTAGCTTCACTATTGTCGAGGAGGTTGACTGCCAGGAAATTTGGATGGGTTTCTAATTTTCTTTGGTATTTTTCACTTCGTTTCTTTATTTCTTCTTTAACATAGGGTAATTTTGTATCTTGATGAATTACTTTATTTGTGACAAACCAAGGTGCTTGTAAAATTTTTCTCAATGTTTTCGATTGAAACCTTTGAACTATTTCTATGTTTGAGTTGGAAGTGGTTCCCCAGAGTTGGATACCGTAGGTCCAAATAGGTTTCAATATAATTTTGTATAAAAGTAATTTATTTTCAACAGATAATTTTGAATTTCGACCAATGAGCCAATTTAGTTTGTTTGTTTTTAAATTTAAATGAAGTCGTTTGTTCCAAATGTGTGAATGCCATGTAAGCTGTCTGTCAAGATGCATACCAAGGTACTTAACTTCGTTGGATTGTGGAAGCATGACATTATTCAATGTTACTGGGGGACAAGTTCTTGTAGACATAGTAAATGTAACTTGAACGGATTTTGTTTCATTTACTTTAATTTTCCAATTCTGTAGCCACTGAGACAAATCGTCTAATGCAGCCTGAAGGTTTGATGATGCCAGAATAGGATCCTGATTTGATGATAAAAAAGCAGTGTTGTCTGCAAATGTTGCAACCGTAATACCCTGAGTACTTGGAAGGTCATAAGTGAACAAAATATACAAAATAGGTCCAAGAACACTGCCTTGTGGTACACCTGATTCAATTTCATGCACATCTGTAACTATATCTTGATATTTAATTTGAAAAAAGCGTTTGGACAAATACGATTTCAACACTCCATAGTATGTATGGGGCAGCAAAGTTTTAATTTTGAACAATAATCCTGTGTGCCAGACTTTATCAAACGCCTGGGCTACGTCCAAAAAAGCAGATGAACAAAAACGTTTATTTTCAAGATCTTCCTTGATTACATTCACTATTCTATGCACTTGCTCAATGGTGGAATGCCTTCGGCGGAATCCAAACTGATGGGAAGGCAACAATTCTTTTTCATCAATTATAATTTGGAGTCTTTTTAAGAAAAGTTTTTCAAAAACTTTAGAAACCACAGGAAGAAGAGATATAGGCCGATAAGAGGATGCTTGATTTAAAGGTTTACCAGGTTTCGGAATAACAACAATTTGTGAAACCTTCCACTGTATTGGGAAGTATTCAAGGCGTAAAACTGCATTGAAAAGTACTGTAAGGAAAACTATTCCTTTTCTAGGAAGCTCTTTCAACACTTTACCTGTTATCAGATCATAACCGGGGGCTTTTTTGCCGTTAAAATCGTCTTTTATCACTTTAGCTACTTCAGATGGTGTGAACAATTTTATTGGTAAATCAAGTTGATTTGGAGAATCGAGGAATTCCAAAATTTCTTGCTCAACATTTGAATTAATATTATATGGCTTGAACACTTCCTTGAAGTATGAAGCAAATACATCTGCTTTCTCGATGTTGTTTTTGGCCCAAGAACCGTCTTCTTTTAGAATAGGTGGAATGCAAATTTGTGGACGTTTTAAGTTTTTTGTAACTTTCCAAAGGGAGTAGTCACTAGCTTCAGATGGAGAAAGGTTTGATGTGAAATCTTGAAATCTGTCATTGTTTAATTTAAACAGTAACCTTTTTAGTTGTTGAGTGGCCCTGTTTAGATTTCTTTTACCCGTCTGGTCTCTAGAGTTTTGCCATATTCTACGGAGTCGGCGTTTTTCGGCAATTTTCCTATTAATTTCAATTGGATAGTGTATTCCTGATTTTAAATTATGTTTATTCTGGTCTGGAGTTGCTCTCCAAGCGGAGTCTTGAACTGTTTTGTTGAAATGTTCAACAGCAAGATTCAAATCTTCTTCGCTCTTCAAACACACAGAAATCTTTAAATTTTGATCCACTAATTCACGAAAATAATTCCAATCTGTATTTTTGTTGCATAAATGTGGTGGAATAGGTTTGAATATAACATTTGAAGCGATCGTTAAAATTACAGGTGAGTGGTCTGAGGAAAGGTCCAGAGATTGCTCGATTGTCACAAAATCTCGGGATACACCTTTTGTAACAAAAAAATCAAGAAGGTCTGGTATTTTTTGACGATCAGAGGGCCAATATGTCGGTTCGCCTGTCAATAGAGTATCAAGGTTCCGTTCTTGGATTGACTGCAATAGTTGTCGACCCCTAGGAGTTGCCAGACGGGAGCCCCATGTAGGATGTTTGGCATTGTAGTCTCCTCCTGACAAAAATTTACAGCCTAAAGTGCAGAAGAAATCATTAAACTGTTGGCGTGTAATGTTGTGTCTAGGTGGGCAGTAAATAGAACTTATAGTAAGTGGGCCTGTCTCAAACTCCACTACAACAGATAAACTTTGGATGAAATCGAACTGATATTTTGGCAATTCATGGTGCTTGATAAGACTTTTAATCAAGATAGCACAACCTCCATGAGCTCTATTGCTAGGATGGTTAGTGTTGTATAGACTGAAATTTGGAATTTTACAAAAGTTTAAATCAGTAAAGTGAGTTTCAGAAATAAGAATAACGTCCAACTTATGTTTGGCAATGAACAGTTTTAATTCTTGGCATCGCTGTGCCAAGCCGTTAGCATTCCACACTACATTACATTACACTAAATGATATTCAAAATATAAAAGAACCATTTTATTGAATTCTTAAACACATCAAACTAAGCAGAATATTTACTAACAAACTTAATAATAATAAATCAGCTGATGTATTAATTACTTATACATTTAACTATCAAACAATACTAAATTAAGATTATACTCGAACAGTTTTTGTGAAAATTCTATTTTCTGTTATTTTATGGGTTGTGGTAAAATAACCATAAAAAATTAAAATATAAAAAAAAATCCAAAATGCCTGGAGATAACATGGATTAGTGACATCAAATTTCATCGAAATAACACAACAGGAGTAGTCTGTAGCTCTGTACATGTACGGAGTTAAAAAAAAATGCTACACAAGCGGACCCCGAATTATAATAGAGCTACAGTAATTAGGTAGTATTTACCAATAATTAATATTTACTATTCTTGACACTGGTCAAATATGTACTGGTACTTTGTACTTTGTGAATAAGGATATCGGAATTTGATTATTACTATCTTGGGGTAAGGGAAGGCCCGGGATTTCCATGTGATACATGATGCGCTATAGAGAGAAAATTGCGCCCCTCTCCACCTACCTTTAGGGGGAATTGTTCTCTTACTTGCACCCCAGCAAAACTAAAACGTCTTACGCCCCCAGGTGCCTATAGGATATTACATGTAGATAAGGTGTTATCTGTCAACACAATGTTACTCAGAAGGTAAATATTTTTATTGTTAACAAATATGAGATTTTAGTGGTAAATGATAGTTGAAAAATAACAACACTGTTGGCTACAGACCGAATGAAAGAGTAAATGTTTCCCCCGAGAAGCTGATTATTGTAGTCCGACAAAGTTTCAAACTTTTACCATTGTTCCATTGGTCACTTGGATGAGAATTATAAAGAAATTAAATGTACTGTTTGAAACAGCATTGTTTCAGCAAAGTTGGCTATTGTTTTGGGAGGCTATTATAATGTGTCTTTATGTTTCAATATATATTCAAAGCATTTACAGAGTGGTTAGTTACCAAATTTACCTTTTGATGAGGAGTTTTGAGCATACAGTTAGCAACAATTGAGGATTAATTATATTTTGTGATGAAAAGACTTACACTTGACTTAATTATAAAACTGAAATTCAATACAACATTTTTTTATTAACTAGTGTACCTGTTGCTCGAGTTCGAGCAATTGCTAAGTATTACAGGCGTTATTTTAAAACGAATAACAGTAATAATTTCTGATGACTTTAAAAGATTTGACTAAAAGATTATGGATATACTCAAAATGTACATAACAGATCGATATAATCAACATTTGTTGTAAATATCTTATCATTTTTCAAAAGCTGATCTTGTTTAATAGTGTTTTCTGCAACTAGCGCATTAGGTTGTCCATAATAACGATTATAAATTGAAAAGAAAAACAATATTTCTATTTCTTCTCCTTGGTGGTGTTCTATGTCTTTCCTATGTTTCCATAGTTTGCAAATCGGCTCTTTCAATGATTTCTAAGAAATGTAGCACAGTGTTAATTCAGTTTTCTTTTTAGTGTATTAAACCATCCAGGCTCTCTCGCTTTTTTCCATTGTAATATTTACACCAACCCAAATTCAAATAGTAAATATTTCATTTCAACCTTGTCAGTAAATGTTTGTAGCAAACTGTTGAATTAGCAAACTTATGACTGTTTACATGTTCTTCTTCTCACTTTTAATTTCTGACAACAGCTGGAGTTTCATAACAATGTTTGTTTCCCATGTTTATCTTTTGGAGAAACTCGAAACTTCAAAGAGCCTCACTTTCTAATTATTTCCCTAAAAATAAAGTTTCCTGCACAACTTCACGTTACGCTCTTTCCAATGATACCAAAAACATGTCAATCGGTTCAGTAGTTTTGGAGGAGTAATTGTCACAAAAAACCTGCTTGCGTATTAAATAAGTACTAGTGTACATGTTGCTCGAAATCGAGCAATTGCAAAGAAGTACAGGAGTTATTTATAAACAAATAACTTGTTTAAAAACTAATAACAGTCATAATTTCTGATGATTTTAAAAGAGTCAACTATAAGATTATTAACTAAAGGAAATACTCACTATTTACATGACAGTTATATTCCAGTTTAAAGGGTTAATTCTTAACAATCAATCTGCCCATGTACGGGAAAAGGTAAGCTTACATTAAGTCAACGTAAAAAGGCTGTCAGCTTTTATAAAGTACCGTACCTAAGTTGTTTAGCCAATATGTAGATAATAAGGTGAAGGCTACTTTAAACTCTACAGGATAAAAACTGGCAGAACTCTGAAATGGTGTTATTTATCATAGGCTTATTCATATGCCAAATCCTTAGAATAAAAATGCAATAACTAAAAACCGATATCATTCAACACAAACCAACATCCAAAACTAAACACATTTTTAATACAACATAGATAATTTACACATTGACTGTTTTACATATGTTCTTCTTCTCACTATTAGTTTTTGCTTCTCAACGGGAATAATCTGTTTCATAATCATTGAAATAGATTTATAATAAATAATCTATCATAAAGTTTAAGATGAAATAAACCTACCACATAGTTGTTTTACATGGTGGAAGGAAAATACGTTTTTTTGGATCAGCTGTCGGAATTTGTGAAATAGAAATTTGACAGTTCTGGTTGTTTACAATAAAATGTCAAAGCAAATGTAAACATTGTGAATTTTCTCATGCTTCCATGGAAACAAATTATTTAATATTTAATTTCTGACAACAGCTGGAGTTCCAAAACAATGTTTGTTTCCCATGTTAATCTTATGGAGGAATACGAAACTTTAAAGGGCCCTAGGGCCTCACTCTCTAATTATTTACCTAAAAAGAAAGTTTCCTGCACAACTTCACGTTACGCTCTTTCCAATGACACCAAAAACATGTCAATCGGTTCAATAGTTTCGGAGGAGTAATTGTCACAAAAATCATGCTTGCGTATTAAATAAGTATAGATATAGATAAAGATAGATTGTTACTTTAATCAAAGACTATCTTAGCAACCTCAGTAATGCACTCATTATTTTGCGTGTAAATCAGTAAAGATAAATTGCATCTCTCTTTGTTACAAAAATCAATGTTTTAATGCTTGGAGGTTATTGTTACTTAATCATAAAAAAAAATTGGGGGTCTTAATTTTCATTAAAAAGCTAGAGCTGGGGAATAGGGTAATTACCAGATGATGCTATAATAATGCCAAAACATTTACGTATACATTAAAATAACTAGAGTTGATATTTTATTTTATGTTCAATATGATTCATACCATGTTAAAATGGAATGAAAAGATTCATAATTGGTAAAAAAATAAACATGTTTTCCAGATTAATTTTATTAAATTAAATTAATACAATTACAAAACAAAAATGATTATATACAGTACCTATGGATTAAAAATTATCAAAAACGAAAAATCAGGATATTTTTATTTCTCTTTTTAGGTAGGCAGATTTTATGTGAGAATTCAAATAAATGTTATTATTTTCTTTCAGTTATAAAATTATTTTCATACGGGGTACTTATTTTACACAATAAATAATAAATTATTGGGTTTCATCTTAGAGTATATTCAACCAATTAGAATTTACAAGACAAAGTAGGTGAAAATTAAATGTTTAAATAATTCAAAATAAAATTAAGAAGCTGAACATTAGTTTATTTCTAAATATTGTAAGATAACTAATCTAAAATGTGTCATTCAACAGAAACAAGCATATTATCGTAAAAAAGTTGGTTTAGTCAAAACTGTTGAAGACTAGGCTTTATAATAATACAACTAATACAACTAATGTTTTTTGCCCTCTAAACAATCATTAATTGCCATAGCTTGCAGATATAAAGCATTTAAAAGCAAATAATTTCCTCTATTTATTTTAGTAAAAAGCGTTCATTTAATTTGTTATATCTTCACACTAGTGAATAACAATAGCTTTTGCATGGTTCGGAACTAGACCAGCTGTTCTTGATCATTTTAATGACTGCTTCTGACTAATGAAACAGCTGATCTTAGTCAGGACTAATCTACAGTTCCTTTCACGAGTGAAAACCAGCTCTGACAAACATTGAGTCACTTGGGAAGTAAGCAGTTTTTTCTATCTCCGCACCGGGAGTATAGTAGTTACAGATATCGTTTTGATAGTACAGACCAATCAATTGTTTATTGCACAGCTGACACCAGCAAAAAATAAATTAAAGAACGACCTAAGTAATGAGTCCATTCAGTAAAAGATTTTGATATGACAAACTGGTATTATCTTTACCAGAGCTATTAAAAATGTGTTAACTAAATCGAGAATGCTAGCTGTTCTGCTGTATGCCAGCGCATAAGCACTAGCGTGGGCAAAAAGCGCTACTGTGGATCTTTTTGTTTGGTTTTTCACTCGCCAAATGAACTGTACAAAGATCATCTCACTCCATCCTAAACATATTATATTCAGATTCAGCTTAAAATATGCACCTAAGTGTGTTTCGCTGTCGCGAAGAATTTATGATTAATTGTATGAAAACAAAATGGAATGTACAAAAACAAATCTTTCTCTGACCAATCATAAGTTCAACTGTACACCTCGATGATCTGTGAAAGACTGACCCAAGTTCCGCTAAACAGAGTGACCACTGCTGCCAACCCGAGGAATATGTTCTTCCAGAGTCGCCACTGCGCCACGCCGAGCCCCTCGTCCCAGAAGGTGAGTGTTTCCAACGCAGCAGGCAATGCTAGCCCCAGCATGGTCAGTCCTACAGCTCCAATTAGACTTATCACTGGAGCTAGTTGAGGTACCAGAATGGCTGAGATGACTGAAACAAAATACATGACCAGAGGACTTCAACTAATTGTTGTCGAGTACCTGTTATCCCCCTTAACCTTAGCATAGGAACACCCAATCATTTAATACCTGTGATGGGTACCTTTGACTATTTATAGAACTAGACGTAGAAAATGGATCTTTAGACACTAGCGCGTTCTGTGACAGACTCACACAACTGTGTCCTTTTTAATTAAAAATTTACGACAGCTGGTACATAAAGATGGAATGTCTACTTCAGTATCCAAAATCCAGTAGTCAATGGTGTTACACTGTCTCGCATGTGTTACGCAGGATGTAGTTCAGATAAAAAATATTGTAAATTTATCCAGCGGGTTTATTTTTTTTATTGCATTGGTTTTAGAAAATTGTTTAAGTTCTATCACCTTTGATTATATTTTAAGGAATTTTGTGATTACATCTGATGACCTGAGTGAGAATGAGTCCAATTGGGTACAAGAAACATCTTACTCCCCATTCCTTGGCTGAAGATGCTGTAAGTGACAGTGAAATTTTCTAATATGTGTAACATTTTCTCTGTTATGTGGCGGAGCAGATTCATTCAAGTAAGTCTGCTATCCTCACTGAAATTATGAAAACTTCTATGCTTCTGCTGTTTGTTACATACTTTGAAATCCTTGAACTGGTAATAATAATAATATATGTTTTTTGGTCCTGTTGCACTGCTTCGATGAAGCTACTAAAAATTCAAGAGAATAATTGACCGCAGACTTAAAAACATCCGTGATTATGGAAGGAGAGAAGACTGTGATGTAGCCCTCCTGTCTACTACCAATTGCACACTGTGTTAGACCTATTCAGTTCATCATTATATCTAATGCTTATTTATACATTCCACTTTTCCATTAAATTTTCTCAAGCTTTTTAACTACGTGTAACGAAGATGCAAGCTTTGAAAATATTTCTGTCGCAACAAAACATGTAGGATGCTGATTCATCTGATAAATAACCATGGGAACCTTTGACAGATCTAAAGTAAAAACCTGCTTGTCAAGCTGAAGCTACCAGATTGTTACGGAAGAGTTATGAGAGGACTTACCGTGTCCAATCACCATAAGGACTCGCATGGTGTAGTAGGCAAAGTCTTGGTTCTCCTTGGATACATGAGACTCCATGGCCTTCCAGACAACCTGCGCGGCAGCCATGATCTGCAGTCCGTAGGTACACAGGATAGCAAGGGCTACTAGAATCTTGACTGTCTGGGCCAAGCTATAGGAACAGAATGAAGGCTTCGAAAACTTTGATAAAAAAATGTATTTTGAATTAAGTAAGAGTCCGACTTCAAATTTACATGGGTCAATACCTTGTTCAGATTAGTAAAGTTTTGGAATGGGCAGATTCCTAAACACTGAATTTTTTTGACATAGTATAATAACAAAGTACATAGAATTTTTACATACTACTGTAGTTTACTATACTAGTTTTACATAGTAGGAGAGGTGTTCCCACTCTGATTTTCCAAAGAACCTTTACATTGATAGGCGATATTTTTTCTGATGGTGACCATTCCATAGTGTCTAATAAGTGCAAACATCTAATAGATCTGTACATGTTCATGTGCGATATAAGAACACAGCATTATTGAGTCGGAGTAGTTCTCATTGTCCTCTGTAAAAATGAAGTAGACTTATAAGTGTAAATATGAAGTAGACTTTTATGCGTAAAAATGAAGGAGACTTATATGTGTAAATATGAAGTAGACTTATATGTGTAAATATGAAGTAGACTTGTATGCGTAAAAATGAAGTAGACTTTTATGCGTAAAAATGAATTAGACACATATGCGTAAATATAAAGTAGACTTAAATGCGTAAATATGAAGTAGACTTGTATGCGTAAAAATGAAGTAGACTTATATTTGTAAAGATGAAGTAGACTTATATGTGTAATAATGAAGTAGACTTATATGCTATCAGAAACCTTCTCAATGCTGTTTTATAGGTTTATGAAATAGGCTATAATATTAGATGGGCTATACATTTGATTCATTTTTTTATGAAATATTGACCGTATTTTAGGAGGATTTCAGTTCTCAAATATCATTTACCTTTGTATATCACAATATGTGTGTTTTTCTTAAAAAAAAATTATGTCCCTATAGGGAAGTAGCTATTACCATAGGTGGCACGGTAAAACCTAGACCCGGGACTGATATACATTTTCATTTTTGTCGGGTGTATTATTATTTTTTACATGTTTTATAAAAAACATTATTTTTGCAAACTCTGTTGGAAACAGACCATTTTTGTAACAGCGGGGATTTGAAAAGTGAGACTCTATTGCAGTCATTGAGACTGTATACAACAAAGTATGTGTTGCAATAAATTACAACAATGTTCATAAAGTGTGTTTGTAATTACCAAGTTTCTGGGAGATTCAAGGTGATGCTGCCTTCCACCAAGTCCCCGAACTTTACATACCCGAAGAATCCGACCGTCAGGGATAAGAAGACCACGATTATCATGGCACGGTTCAAAATCCCTGTAATTCCCAAGAAGTGTTTTGGATTTTTCATAGCATTTTCAATTGGTAAAATCTGAAATAAAATATTACTTAAGGTTGAGATATGTTGTGACTTATATTACTTACATTCTGCTTCTTGTTTGACATTATACATGTCGGTGGTATTATGTGGATGGAGTAATAGGTTGTCTTCCTACATTATTTGAAAAATGTATCTATTTTTACTCAGTCATAACATAACACAAAGACCTCAAGTCTGTGGAAAATGCATGAAGATATATTGAATATGTTATATTTTGCTGTAAGATATCAAACTGGTCTTTATCAGGCTCAATCAAAGTCAAAGTGAATCCAAATTAAGTCCTTAATAATCATCTTGCTTAATCTGGTTATTTATTTATTTATTTATTTATTTATTACATACACGGCAAACGCCATTTTACAAGAGAGTTGAGTTGAGATTATACAAATTAATTGTGACTTAAAGTGAAATAGGTAAGTGCGATCAATAATTAAATATTATAACAAGTATGAAATACTAATAAATTGGCCAACGGATTTTATTAAAATCCAAAAATGTCTAGGTCTGTCAGTTTTGTGTGGTTTTTTTTTAAACAAAACCATTTATATATCTATGTGGAAAAACAACAAACTATAAATTCAAATGTTGAGAAACGCAAAAAGCATGAACACAAAATGGAAAACACAAGGCAGACGAACTTACCACTCCAATTCCCTCCATTCCAAAGAGTACGGTAGACAGAAATAGTGGAAACTTGGTAATCCCAGCACACAAAGGTCGAGATGAAACTGGCGGGAAGTCGCTGATGGAGTAGTAAAGAGTGGCAGTAACTCCGACAAGCAGGAACATGTTGGCCAGCGCACTGAACGGCACCATGTACTTCATCTGGCGTATTGTACCGACGGGCAGTAGAGGCACTGTGATGAACAATATGTACCATCTCAGACTGTAGCTGTACCCTGTGTAGCTCTCAAAAACCTGTAATGTCAACAGTAAATTACTAAAATGTAATTTTGTTACATTTTATTCTTTATTGTCTTCAATTTGCTATCTGCTATCACACTAATATTTTTGCTTCATTTTACACAAGCCTACAACAACTTTTTGAAATCTTTTTCTCATCTTTTGGGGAGCGAGATGGTCTAGTGGTTAAAGCGCGGGTCTTCGGTCCCTCAGGTCCTGGGTTCAAATCGCCACCAAATCACCAATAGATTTTACTATTTAAGACAGTTTAACTGCTCTAACATCTAAATTAAGACCCTTGATAGTTTAGCTAGTTTCAGGGTAGTTCTTCTCTCAACTTCAATGTCAATAAATATGAATAGTAAACACTGTTGTTAGATGTACCTGTATTGCTAATTTATCAGGCAATCCATAGATTTAACATAAGATGAGGTAGGGTGACAAGTTTATATTAGAACCTAGTCACTCAGACCTTGAGCTGGCTAGAATATTATATTTGCAATTTCTATTTCTACTAAATTAGAGTTTTCAATAAGGTATTAATGTAAAGTAATTTTCTTTGCACTAAAATAGCCTTTCAACATCTGGAAAATCTCCGGATATATTCCTGCTAAAACATCTCAAAAGCGTAATTGAGATCAGATTCAAAATTCCAAATTTGTGGATAGGTTTTGACAAATACTAAAATTTGCATAGTACTAGGTAACTACCACTACTACTACTACTAGGTACTAGGTATTGGTACTTGGTAGTATTTGTATTTGTAGTAGGTTGTGCTAGGTACCTGTTTTAGAGTTGCTGATGCCATCAACACATAGATTATACCAGCTCCATAATGCGGCAGCAGAATACAAACGTTGGTAATCTGTCTAAAACATATACAGAGATGGAAATAACTGTGTACTTTAGCAATAAATTTAAGTTTCACAAAGAAAATTGTTAATTGGAGAGCTGTAAGGTAGTTTTGATTTCTTTACTTTCTCATGTATTTTTTGGTGCTGAATCTGACTTTGAGGTTCAATTGCAAAATACCTAAATAAAACTTCGTTTTGTTGTACTTTAGTGTTGTTGTTACTCTTTGTGAGATAGTGTATGCCACATGAATGGTGTTATCGCTTACAATTGGTCACCATTTTGATTCAAAAACTAGTTGACAACTTTCACATGGGGAAGGAATGTATCGTTCTATCAATTGTCAAAGGTTTCACTTTGTGTAGTCGTGGATAACCAGTTATGGCTGTATGAAAATTTACGCATTTTGAATAGAAGGTTTGAAGTCACTTAACACACATCTTTGACTCGACATTAGGATGGATCTAGACATTTAATCTGTATGTTAAGGTTCAGTGGTGTAGTAGTAAAATTTCCAGTGTGGGAACAATCACAATATTTTCCCAGAAAAATACAGGTCCCTTACCAATATATCCCTAGGTTCTTTGGAAAAAGCAGCCCGCACCACTACACCACTTTAAGGTTACAAGAACTTTGATTTGATTAATGTAGTTGAATTTAGCATGCTACCAAACACTGATCTCCACTACATTAACTTTTAACCCAAGTCAAAATGAAAGTTTAATCTTTAAAATTAACTAAACACACTACACCAACAACATAAACCCCCCCCCCCCTTTGGATGTTGTTGGTGTGGTTGAGCATAAACTATAGCACCAAAAACTCCAAGAGAGAAAATACATTTTTACTTTGACAATACCTCTTGTGAAAGTTCTAAGCACAGGAACGTAGCCTTTGTGGATGTGCAAATACAAAGTTAAAAGAAGTTTACAGAAGAAGGCTACAGTCTGTCTATATGATGGGATGTACATCTGGTTGTACATTTGGCTGACCTGCCCAGTTCGGCGTGTCTCTTGAACCTCCCCTTGAGAGCGAACTGCAAGGCTGCCTCGGTAGTCTCAGGGTAGTTGAGGTGACTTTTCTTGGTGTGATAGCACAAAGCCTGCGAGGACTTGACCTTCACAACACAAATTTATGTAAGCATTTTGAATTGGTGCTTGTAAGATACAAATATTAAGTGTATATATTGGAAACATGTATTTGGTTGATGATCATACAAAATTTCAAATTTCAATACAAAATATTGCCTACCCAACCTCACCTGATCTCCCTACCTAACCTTCAAGTCAACCGCCAGAGGCCAACCTACACGAGCTGTGAGTGGACGTGTTTTAGCAACTCTCCCAAGTAATAAAAATAGTCTGATTTTTATAAAATTTTGTAAAAACCTATAAACCTACGTTTTTTTTAAACATAGCAAACCAGTATGATCGGACTAGGAGAGCGGGTGTTTTGTGATGGTTTTATGTGGTAATATTGAGTTTTACCCTTTTTGACCCTTAAAACATGAAATTTTAAATTTGAAAGTTAATTAGTTAGTTGTAAGTTTTAGTTGAAGGTTATTGAAGTTCTTCTATACTTACCAGAATGTAGGTACAATGTGCGCAAATGACCCCAACAAACAATGTTCCGATGAAGCCCACCAACAGTCCCGCGTTCATAAAGGCACTCGGCATTGCCAGCAGACCCGACCCTAGGCTGCTCTTCAGTACGTTCAGGAATGTACTGAAATCTCTGAAACATTTACAGTAGACGAGTGACTTTAGATAATGCAAATAGTCTTCTTATCCTATATAGTAAAATCTGAAATCGGGTACAAGACAGCGGTGTCGTGGGTTCGGATCCTGGTCCACTGTTTTTTTTAGTACAGTTCAAAGTTCAACCTTGTACTTGTATTGGATCACCCCTTGCTTTGCTGGATATGTTCCATGCGCATGTCTCTGTGGCCCATCAAGAGACCTCAAAAAGGAATAATAGATTGCTTCATATAAGTGTGCCATACTTTTGAAAATAAAAAATTTATGGGAACTGCACTAATAATATCATACACATCATACAGTAATATTTTTACCCGTTACACTTACGAGGTTGCGAAATGACTTTGTCTAAGGTTTTCTTCTGTCGCATCAGCAATCTTAAGGTCCGCCTCAAACAGTTCAAATCTAGAACAGAACATTCTTTCAGCAGCACTGAAATTGACAAAATAATATGAAACTCATAATGGAAATCTTGTCTCTTTTAAATTTACATTATTTGTGCAGTGCCAGGGCTTGATCATTAGAAGGAAAAGGTGAATAATTACCAGGATGTATAGGGTTACATAATGCATACAAACTACATTTAATTTATTAATAATTTAGCCCTTTGATATCCCTCACCTCCCATGACCACCGATCGCCGCCACTCTCTATAAAAATACTTTTTAGGAAATTTAACAATTTTATTTTGTTTGCATATTTTTTATGGTGTATTGAAGATTCCATGCCTTAAAAAAATGTTTACAGTTATATTTATTTTTGTTAGAACCCTTTTCTAAACAATAGCATCTTTAAAATATGTCTAATTGGTAGACCCTGTTTGAAACAGTTTATTTTATGGTAAAAACTATGGCTATCCAGAAAGTACATAACGTTTCTGCCAGACAGCGACAGGCGCACCGATTGCATCCTTTCTAGTACAAATGTTTTTATCTTCGTAATGACTGTTTGAGCTTTCACAACAGCTGATGTGCTGCCTGTTGTCCCAGTAATAATGCTTAAAAAATGTGCTGCACTTGAGAATCCCACTAGTTGGCCATAAACATAAAAGATAAAATCTAAAATCCATATAAAAACTTATTGTCAAGTGTGTGAAGCGTACGGGAACAACTTTAATTAAAGCTTTTATTTGGAAGTGGTGCGTTCAGCTTCACAATTAACTAACTAAAGGCAATGTCTAAAATTGTTTTTGTATGACAATGCCCGACTTAACACGGCAAATCACGTACAAGATCTCTTTTATTAATTAAAATGGGAGATTTTTCCTAAACCACCCTACAGTCCAGAGGCTCCTAGCGACTGTTATTTATTTCCAAAAAGGAAAGCTTGGTTACAGGTACAGCACTTTAAAGATGAGGAGGAGCTCCAATTGTATGTCAACAGCTAGGCTAACTTCATATTTTGTTGTGGTGTTTCCATACCAATTGATTGACAAATAAATAAAAGGTTAAAATACCTTGCTAAGCTAGGCTAAGCTCGCATGTGGCGGAATCCTATGACAGAGGTATTTCAAAGCTCGTCCACCACTTTGATTTCTTTAGTGACTACTGCACATAGCAATGTCGTATATTATATTAGTTGCTCTTTTAAACGCATTTAAAACTTATTTTTGTATAATTTTTTTATTCCAAAATTGTAACTTTCTTAATTGCCATACATATACACAATTGGAATATAATTTTGTAAAGTAAGTCAATGGAGCCATTGGATACGTATTTAAATTAAATCTATGTTAAGGGCCTACTTGTCAATAGACCTACATATAACGGTTACTTACACTGAAACATTTGTTAAAGATTTGAGGCTTACTCGGGTGAGCTCTCTCTTGATGCGAGTAAGTGAAGAGGTTCTTCTATCTTCTGGCACCATTGTCTATGTCAGCTGTAACCATAATCTTACTGAGACCTGTGAAGAAGGAGGAGGAAGTCTAGGTTTTGAAGGTCTAGGTTTCATGAAAGTGTATGAAAATTGGTCCCACTAAAGTTTTGATTTCCATTTAATCCTCCTGTTTGTCCTTAACAACTAAAAAGTGTGGTGATAGTGTGTAGACTGTTCCAGCCTTGATTTTTACTAGTCAAAATTAAGAATCATATTAAAAATTTAGAAAGGGAGCTGATTACTGTTTTAACTTACAGAAGTTTTATTACTTAGATATGAAACAGAATTTTGTTTGTTTAGGAATACTTTACGGAAGAAATAAAATAACAGATATAACTAACACAATTACACCAAAGAAAGAAGTTCAATGCTCAAAAAGTTCACATTATATTTTAACTGACATTTTTAGTTTTCCTACTAGGTACCTTCTTCTAAATAAAGCCCCACAGGGGGGGGAGGCAAAACAGTAAGTTTAAAGTCATGAAATTTTTGTATCTTGTCAAACGCCTGGGTTTCTTTTATTGAGAATGTTGTATGCCAGTACCTTCCTATGAAAATATTATTTGGAAATTATAGCTTGAATAAAGATTAAAACGTTTCTTAGTTAATTAGCCACATTAGTTTGTAACATTGCTTAATTCAACAACCATTGTCCTGTAAAACTTCAAAACTACAGAAAATAATAAATACTCCTAACAAACGTCAAATCATTAGCAAACTCAAAATTTCAGTTTTTTTCATATTTTAGGAAAATTGTTATTTTATTTCTAAATTTTTTTTGCAAACACAAAATTTTGCATAAATATCTGCAGGGTTAAAAGTTTATAACATAATGTTACATTTGATAAACATTCTCTTCTGAATTCAGTGGTACACAATGCACAAATGTCCCCTCTCTTCCATTCTTCTATTTTAAAACTATTATTTTCCTACAACACGGTTTCTAAGTCAATTCCAAAAAGTATTTCCACCCCGGATTATTACGTTTAAAACTACTGTCTAATCTACCTGGCTTTTTGTTTGGTATCAATGTATTTATTTTAATAAGAAGGATCGGATAGTTTGTAGTAAAAACTAAAAACAAAAGATTGTCACAAAGCGATTTAGGTAGGCCAATATTGGTAAAACTGAGGTGACCAACTTAAACCCACAGATTTAGCTAATTAATAATTATAGGCAAATTAAGTTAACTTATATACTAATAAAATATAAAATTGCACATTACCTATATTGAATCAGGTATGGGCCTATAAATTACCCATTTTTTACACTTCACATTAAATTGGTTACTAAACAAACTAAAAAATAAAGTATTGGCATTTTTAAGTTGCGCTCAATTTAAAATCTGATAAGATAAGACGAATGCTTGTTGACTTCTTGACGTATTTTACTATCAGATGAAACCCCAATAATACATTACAGTCTATCAATTATTTAATAGTGACACTTTCTACGGATAATCTCTATTTGCAAATTCTTTTACAAAAATATTGGTTTTGCCTACTTCATTATGAGGAATGGTTAAAAGAAAGTAGGTGGTGTGCAAAAGATTTATTTTGCTCCATGAAGTCAACCGTCCCCTGTCCAATAAGATTCTTTTGGATTCTTGGGATTTAAGAACAATGCTGAAGCTGTTTGTAAAGTTTGAGCTGTGATCAAGATTACCATGATGTTTGCAAATATGATGCACACACAGTTATTAGGCTGCGGTGATAATCTTGTTGCGATCCTGGGAGCACAGAGTACTGAGAATCAATCCTTCCTCGATTTTATCGGCACTAAACGATCAGGGGAATAAATTTGAGAATTGAAATCCATCCATCCCAATTTTTTAAAAGACTGCTAAATTCTCGTGATCCCAGATTTTTCTCCCTTGAAAAAATGTACAGCTCAATTGTTTTAGGTTTTTAATGGTTGGTGGTGTCCTGGAACATTATTTTTAATCGCTAATTTTAAGTAGCCCTACCATATTGTTGTATCTGTCGATTTGCAACTGGCTCTAAATCTGCACCAATAGAGGGATTCACGTTGTTGAAGGACACAGGTCGTTTAAAAATTACAAAACCTGTTTAAAAATAAATGTTATTTATATGTATCTATTAATAATGGTTAGACCATCTAATATATACAAATTGTTTACAAAAATGAAAAGATATGTTACTAGTTGCTTTGGCTTAATATTTCCATACATTTCACTTGGTAAAAGAGCTTCAGTTTATTATCCAATATTAAAACCCCAAGACATTAAATTACCATGTTAGTATTCACCATTTGGATACTAACTGGAAAGAAAGTTATTTATCTCATTAGCCACAATTTTTGGGTTATCCAAATGCACATGGTGATACCCTGGAAGGATTACGTGTTTGCTTTTTGGTGAATTGTTCAAAATTATATTAACAGTTTTTTGGTACAATTCTCCTTTACTATCACTCCTAACGACACCCTTTTCAGCTTGAATGGACAACATATCACAGGTAATTTTTTCTGCTAGCTTTAACCAAGACTCGAACGTCAGTCGTCCAAAAGCGTTCAGTTTCAGTTTTGGATCACGAGATAAAAACACTTTACCATTAGGCAACTTACTAGTTCCTCTACTCAGCAAATGTTTACAACCCTCTTTCGTCGTCCACCCCTGAGGACCTCTTCTCGCTTTGAAAAACATATCGAATAACTCTTCCTCAGTGTATTCAGGAGGGTCGGTTTTGTCTTCTAAACTCAACATTTTGTCTATGGTGTTTCTCATCGAATCTATCAACGTGGTCGCATCTTCGCTCATATGATGGCGTGAACAGTCTAGGCTGATGTATTTAGACACTTGGTCAGGATAGAGGGCTGCGTAGACGAAGGCGAGGTTGCTTCCGAACGAGTGTCCCAGTAGAACCAGAGGATCCGACCACTTGAAGTGATGCTTTATCATGTAACGTAGGATACACACAGCGTCCATGTAGTGGTAAGGGAAGCCCGAGGGAATATGTGTCGACTGGCCGTGGCCAGGCAGGTCTATGGCTAACACTGCCTCAACGTCCAACAGTGGTACCAGGGTGTTGAATGTGGCCGCGTTGTCTTGCACCCCATGGATAGCAAACACTGGCTGGACGTCAGGGTTGCCCCACCACTTGCCTAAAACAAGGCATATGTCATTGATAAAAATAAATAATCTTCATTGGCAAGATTACATTTGTGCGACGCTGACATGCCAGGAAGTATATTTTGAGGTAAAGATGAGTGAAGAACAAGTGTAAAGTGAATGAGATGATAGCTTTGTTACTGACTAGGATGACCACCTGGGACCGTTTATAAAAAACCCAAAGAAGGATGGTCCAGTTTATTTACAAAAAGCTACTAAATTTTCTCAGGATAGAACGAGGAATCTTTTGATACTAGGCAAGAACTATATTTACTCAGTTATCTAGCAAACGAAAAGATTATAGTGTGGAAAGAAAGGATATGTTTCACTAATAGCTAGTTGTAACAAATAGTCTTGTCAAGACTTTCAATCCTAAACTAGTTCAGAGAAATTAAATATCAGATTATAGTTAAGTTACTATTAGAATAAGTTGGCCTATAGTTTTTTCATAGCTAAACGTGGCCAAATCGTTGATTCTGTTGATGTACTGTAATGTAGGCCTACACTCTATATCTAGGAATGTTGGAGAGTCGGTGGCTCAAGCGTCAATGACTTCGGGCCCAGGCAGCAATATCGTGAGTTTGGATTGTGGTCAGTGCCACTTTTTATCAGTATAGATCACCCTTGTTCTGTACCGGCTCACCCCCTGTTTCGCTGGATACGTTCCACGCACACATCTGTAGTCTATGTAGACGGGCAAATGAAGGGTTTAAAGAGACCTATAGTTTTGACATCATAAGATGTGGAATTGCCCCTGAACTGGTTTATAACTAATATATTGGTTTAATTACCTTCAGTCTCCAGTTCAAAATAAGTCGATTGCGACCTAGGTTTCAGCACGACGTTGTGCTATCATCAGGCTTCCAGTCGAAAATGTTCAGTCCATTGGACGTCGTTTAGTAAAAACTATATACAGTTCACAAGACACAAACACATACACATTTACCGATCGGTATTTACAAGGGGAGAACGAGTTCATTTTTGTCAAATCACCGGCCGCGACGAGTGACATCCAAGCCACAACTAGCTGGGTCATTCCATATCAAATCAACAAGGCTCTCAACCTGACCATCTTGGATTTTGATGAAATTTTGCATACTTGTAGTATTTTGAGTCCTGAATCCAAATATGCCTTTTAAAAAAATCTATCTTTTATAGTTTTTATGATATAAATATTTGAAAATGGTAAAAATTGGCGTTTTTTACCGTGCGCACAAATCTAAAATGTTGTCTAGGATGAGTTCTATTGGTCCTATCAAGTTGTACAATGGCTTATTTTAAAGAGGATTCAAATGCCTTTAATCTGATACCAAACTCAACCTACTTTGGTAAAAATTAATTTTTTTTTTAAATTTCAAAATATGTTTTTGAAAAAAAAATTAAGATAGTGTTTTTTGAAAAATTAGAAAATTACATATGTTAAAGAATGTAATCTAGTAAGTACATTATACAAATTTCAAAATGGGATGATAATGGGATCAGCAGTTATGATAAAAATACTTGACTATGGTTCACTGTTTCCAAGCGTTTTGATGCATACAGCGTGTACGTACTAACCTAAATGTATAATTTAATAAGAGTCTATTAACTAAATGATTAAAATAAAAAATATCTGCCTATATTTGAACTATGTATGTCATATTTTGCTCTAATATAAACTAAATCTAGCAAATAAACAACATTATTTAAGTTAACAGAGTTTCCGTCAACCTTTATACATGGGGGCTACTTTGAACAAACTTTCCACTTTTCATATTTTATTTTATCTTTAAATGATAATGTTTATTCTAATTTTCTATTCCCAGATAAATACTCTACTTAAAAAATATTTAATAGTGCATATGGTTCTGCAAACATTAAAAATACTTATTTTTCACTGAAATTTTTTAGTAAAAAAAAGTCGTCCAAACTTCCATGTCTACAGCAAACCCAGTAAGTTTATGATTTATGACTTAAAACCATAATTGAATAGCCCATTTATCTGGGATTAAGAAAATGCCTGCTTTGATTACTTTATAAGCAGTAATAACTTTAAAAAAAGAAAGAAAAAATACCCAATTTGCTGACCTTTACTTATGGCGCCACGACCCTAAATTCTGGAGCAAAATTTCCCGGACATGGAAAAAAAATACTTGGGTTTTAAGTGTTATTTTTTAAAATGATTTTGCCAATGAAAACAGATGTTTTGAGCTTAAGTTATTATTAGCAGCCATAATCCAATTCCTTTATTTGACTGCTATGATATTTAAAAAAAACCCTTGCAAAGTTAAAAAATAACCGGACGGACATTTTGAAAATTCTCGGGAACTTTTTTTTAATTTTTGACATATCAAAATAGAAGTTATACAAAAATGTGGTATGTGGTTTGTAAAAATATGACATACATAATTTAAATATAGGCAGATATTTTTAATTTTAATCATATAATTAATAGACTCTTATTTAATGATACATTTAGGTTAGTACTTACACGCTGTATGCGCCGAAATGCTTGGAAACAGTGAACCATAGTCAAGTATTTTTATCATAACTGCTGATCCCATTATCATCCCATTTTGAAATTTGTATAATGTACTTACTAGATTACATTCTTTATCATATGTAATTTTCTAATTTTTCAAAAAACACTATCTTAGTTTTTTTTTCAAAAACATATTTTGAAATTTTCAAAAAAAAATTAATTTGTACCAAAGTAGGTTGAGTTTGGTATCAGATTAAAGGCATTTGAATCCTCTTTAAAATGAGCCATTGTACAACTTGATAGGATTAATAGAACTCATCCTAGACAACATTTTAGATTTGCGCGCACGGTAAAAAACGCCAATTTTTACCATTTTCAAATATTTATATCATAAAAACTATAAAAGATAGATTTTTTAAAAAAGCATATTTGGATTCAGGACTCAAAATACTACAAGTATGCAAAATTTCATCAAAATCTAAGATGGTCAGGTTGAAAATAATTTTTTATTGGTTGATTTCATATGGAATGACCCAGCTAGATAATTCTTGTGGTCTACCTGACCTTTGTCCTTTGTATTGTCTTGGTCCTTGGTTAATAGGATGCGTCAGTGTCGCTTGGGTCTCGATTATTTTGTTGAAAATTAAATTGGAGCTGTGGTGGATTTGATCGTTCATTAAGTTGTCAGCATCTTGTTTTAATGACTTGTAGATGTGAAACTCTTCTAATATATCTAATAAAAAGCCTTTTTTGCAATAACTGAGAATGGTAACATTTTCGTCCAATTTCCCCGCTCTATGGTCGTTTTCGATTATGTGTTGGGCGAATGTAGATTTTTGTTGAATAAGTCGGGGGTTTGGTTTGTGCTCTTTCAACCGGGTTGTAAATGACCGACCTGTTTGGCCGATATAGTATTGTTCACATTCACCACATTTTAGCTTATATACACCAGTTTTTTCCAGTTTCTCATTGTCATTGGAGGGTTGTCTTATAGTTAGAAGGCGTTCTAATTTATTGGAGGTTCTAGGAGCGGGTAATAAATTGTGTGGTTTTAATTCTTTGTTCAATAGGTTATACAATCGGTGGCCATATTCGATTGGAATGTACTTAAAGGTCTGTTGGTTCGAGTTTAGATGTTTGTTTATGTTTTTATTTCGATGTTTTTTAACCAATCTATCAATCATTCTACTTTCATATCCATTGGAGGCTGCACTATATTTTTTATGGTGTCTAATTCTTTTTCATAGTTTGTAGGTGATAATGGCACATTCAAGAGGCGGTGAACCATGCTATTATAAGCCGCTGTTTTGTGGCTTTGGGGATGGTATGAGGACGCGTGTATCGTCTGAGAGGTTGTGGTAGGCTTTCTGAAAATGTCGAACTCAAAACTGTTATTATTTTTCTTGATAGTGAGGTCGAGGAAGTTTATTTGGTTGTTACTTTCTATTTCTAATGTAAACTGTAATTTCGGGGCTATGTTGTTCAGGTGGTTATTTAAGATCTGTAGCTGTCGGGCGTTCCCATCGAACAAGACCAACGTGTCATCAACATATCTATGGTAGAAAATGATTTTACTCAGATGGTTGTTTTTGTGAGAAAAAATCTCTGTGTTTTCGATGTAGTTGAGGTAGATTTCAGCTAAGATGCCGGATAACGGTGATCCCATAGCTAACCCTTCACTTTGTACATATGGTTTCCCATTGAATGTGAAATAGTTTTGTTGGAGTGTTATCTCAAGTAGGATTATCAGTTCATCAATGGCTTCGGGCTGTAAAGTTGCATTTTTTATCAGATTTTCTTTGACAATCATTATAGTTTCTTTAACCGGGACGTTAGTATATAGATTGACTATGTCGAAAGAGGCCAGAATGCAATGGTTGTTTATGTTTATGTCCTTTATCTTATCAATGAGTTCAAGGCTATTTTTCAGGCTTCTATTATTGTCAAACACATAATGTAAACGTAGTTGGCGTTCTAATGCTTTGGCTAATTTGTAGCTAGGTGCAGTTGTATAGTTGACAAGGGGTCTAATTGGGATGTCCTTTTTGTGGATTTTGGGAAGACCTTTAAGAGTAGGGGCTTTTGGGTTCATGGTCTTAATGGATTTTACAATGTCTTTGTCAAACAAAACCTTGACTTTGTTTAATGCATTTTTTATGGCTGTGTTATAATTGGTTGTAGGATCCTTGTTAATTGGTTGTATGTCATTTGTTATGATAAAATCAATACAAAGGACAAAGGTCAGGTAGACCACAAGAATTATCTAGCTAGTTGTGGCTTGGATGTCACTCGTCGCGGCCGGTGATTTGACAAAAATGAACTCGTTCTCCCCTTGTAAATACCGATCGGTAAATGTGTATGTGTTTGTGTCTTGTGAACTGTATATAGTTTTTACTAAACGACGTCCAATGGACTGAACATTTTCGACTGGAAGCCTGATGATAGCACAACGTCGTGCTGAAACCTAGGTCGCAATCGACTTATTTTGAACTGGAGACTGAAGGTAATTAAACCAATATATTAGTTTAAAGAGACCGCCAACATCTTTAAGACACGAAAAAATTAATTAACCAATCAAAATAGTATCTTACCAGCAATGTGACCCCAAGCTGCAGGTATGTTTATCTCTTTTACAGAAAGTGTATGTCTTTTATTCTTCATGACATTGTTCAGATGAATCTGAGTCTGAAGTCTCCAAGATGATATTTTCCATCCTTCTGACAGACACCTCTGACAAAGAACCAAATTACCAAGCTTCAGCATTTTTCTGCAAAAAGATTGATTACCACTTAGTTCTATTAGTGAGGAGAATTAATCAACTAATAAATCACTACATTTGATGCCGACATAAACCAAGGTCACAAACATTCATGCTCTAAATAATGTACCAAAATCTCTTACCCAACTTTTTAAAATCATGATAATGTTTTGGCCAAATACATCAATAATGTGAACAAATCCTAAATTCATAAAACATCTATGACAAAAACTGTACCGGTAGCTAACATTTGACTAATAGTGTGTCCTATTCATGTTTTTCTTCTTAAAATCATGTACATTCTACCCAGGTTTTGCATCTTCATCCAACATTATGGTCATTACATTAAACTTTGTTTGGAACGGTAGTTTCATGATACCTAATAACTTAGTCATATTTACTAAAATAAATGGTACCAGTAACTTACTGTTATATTTATTAACAACTGATGGATTATAAACTGGTCTAAGGAATAGCAAAATTAAGTTCTTGACGAAGAAGTAAGTTTGGGTGGATTGTGTGAGGGTTGTTGTATTTTCACGATCTAATCAACTCAAGACCAATTTCAATATGTTTAGGCTAGGCTACATAAAAAGTAAGATCACAACTCGATAGAAAAGTTACAGCAAAACTTTGGTTTCCGACTTCATCATAAATAAGGTACGGTAGGCCTACTGTTTGGTTTTCGATTAGGCGACTGATTGTTATCAATCAAATCGATGACTTACTTTTATGTTTGATAATACAACAAAATCAGATATCAAAGTTGATACCAAAGTTTATCAAGGCATAACTTAGTTAAACAACAGGGCAAAATTCCTCCAGATCTAAAGTAATTTAGGCATAAAAAAGATTAGGTTAAGTAAAGTACAGGGAGCAAACATCTAAAAACGTCAAGAGTAAACCATAGAGAAGTAAGGTAGGCTTACCGGTACCCTAAACTTACAGCTAGGAAACACGTTTGTGGGACGAATGTGAGCTTCCAGCCCTGGAATGTTGTGCCATAAATATAGCCTATTTGTAACAAGCAAGGTTGAGCCCGAGTGATGAGCACCAGCACTGTGCAGAAATTCCTACCACACAGGGTCTTCCTCCTCCATGAGTATTTATAGGCATGCACTGTGGGTGCGGTACTCCCTGGTGTGGATTAACGTCCCGCACGAGTGAGTACTACGACCATCCGCAGTACTATCCTGATCATAGAACAATTCGTATATACCAAGAAAAAATGTGGCTCGGATTCCACTATAAACTGTAGGTCCCTTAGTTGCCATTAGCTGTATGGGCTATTAATTAACAGCTGTGTCTAAGGGATACTGTTAATACTGTTCAATGAAATGGCGACCATACCATAGTAGGTATTTTAAGCCAAGTATGAATGGATATGAGTGTGGGATGAGTGGCGCGATCTTGTAGTCTTGTTAGTGACTAAGGCCGACATTCCTTAGACACATTCCTTAGAATGTCGGCCTTAGTCACTAACAAGACTACAAGATCGTGCCACTCATCATACACTCATCTTCATTCATACTTGGCTTAAAATACCTACTATGTATGGTCGCCATTTCAATTGAACAGTATTAACAGTAGGCCTATTTAGTAAGGTTATGAAGGTTAGGGGGGGGGGGGGGCGGTGTTGGAATTTTCTTGGTCCTAGACACATATTGATAGACACCACTTTAGTGTACCACATTTAATGTTTCCTCCGTTCCTTGCTCCTCTGGGGTTTAACTAGACTAGGTAAAACCTTTCCAAAAAAATGTCCTACAAAATTTAAACTTGTTTAATAGTCTACAAGGAATAGGGTAGCCTATATAGGAAGGTTTTAAATTACAGTTTAAGGAGAAATATATAATTAGCTAGGGGTGAAAATGTAACAAAAAGATACAGCCTAGTCGGGCTCCAGTCTGGAAATAAACAGAATAAGCCTAAGCCTAGTCTATGATTTACTTACGTAACTTAGGCCTATTCGTCCAATAAAGTGATTTCTCACAGATTATCAGTTAGCTTATCAGTTTCACTAAGTATAAAGGTTTATTGACAAAAATCATAGTCACTTCGCAATAACTTGTGATATGCCTAACTAGTAGTTGTAGTTTAAAATGTTAATAAAATAAAAAACAAAACCTGTTATTGGAATAAGGTTATGTTGTTTTAATCAAAAGCCAAACGGAAAACGGACGGACACGGACAGTGCTGTCACTGCTGTCGCTGTCTGCTGTTGCTGCAGCAGCTGTGTTGTTGTAATGTTTTGTCTGTTAGTTGACAGTTGATGGGATGGATAAGTCTTCAAGCAAAACGGCAGGGAAAAACGAGCAATGATTATAGTTCATGGATATTTTGCTTAAAAGTTAGTATACGTCTACAGTCAATGGTTAGCGGCCTTTTTAGCGAATTTCCTTTATAGGGAATAAGCTATTACCGTAGTACTCATGGTAAGACCTGGACCCGGGACCGATTTTTTTTTTCGTTTTGAGGTCCCTAGAGGCCAAAAACACCATCCGTTCAAATTCATATATATATATATATATATATTTATATATGTGTCCGTTAGCGCGATAACTCGAGCAAAAACGATCCGATTTTGATGAAATTTGGTACAAACGTGTAAACCTACGTTTAATTCGAACGAGTTCGCGAACCAGCATGATCGGACCATGGGAACGGGGGTTTATGGGGGGTTTTATGGGGTAAAAATGGGTTTTTCCCACTTTTGACTCAAAAAACATAAAATTTTGCAATTTCTTTCCAAACTATTTTGTAGAGCTTAAAAAAACAAATAATTTAGTATATTGAAGCGTTATAATGCATCTAATGGTTACGGAGAAAATTTCAAAAAATTGTAAATTTAAAATTCCCATGTTATTCTTATGGAGAATAAGTAAACTGTTGTTGTTTGCTTGTTTATTAACATTTTTTGCCCAAATTTGGAAATTTTTTATTTCTTACTAACTATTAACATTTTACATTTAAAAAAAAAACACTTTTAAGTATGTGTTAAACTGATTCTATTTAAATAGGGAATGTGATATTTTTAAGGAGATGTACATTTTGGTGTAAATCTAATCAGGCAAATGGAAATTCGCTTAGTCTGCAGGTTTGCTGCGGCGGGGTATTTACAATTACAATAGTAAATAAATTAAGTGTTGAACATAAGGGCAGAACCATAGACAAAAGTATGTTTTATCTATGACAGAATGTTCAAATGTTGGTGAATATCCTAGTTTACTTTTTTGGTTGGTATCAATGTCAACATTATTAGTTTAGAGTATGATTCAATAATAATAATGATATTATTCAACCTTACGTCCCAAAAAGATGTTCTCTAATAATTAATTAAACCGATTCATGTGGTTAGAAAGCAGTACCATTGACTATACACTTCTACGGTAGAGGTGTATAAGTCAATGGCAGTACATACTTTAAAACACTTTTAATTGAAATGGAAAACATACGACGGCGTAGAAGGGCCAAGGAGTACCGTAACATTTTTTTGTAAAATTTTGACATTTAATCTCAAAATTTTGACTTTGAATCTCAACATTTTGACTTTTATTCTCAAAATTTTGACTTTTGATCTCAAAATTTTGACTTTTGATCTAAAAATGTTTACTTTTATTCTCAAAATTTTGACTTTCTATCTCAAAATTTTGACTTTTAATCTCAAATATGTAGTTATTTTTTACAAGTACAGCCAACCGAGACAGTGTGACCAACATAACAGCATAAGCGGCAATCTTGGATAGCACGCTTTTCTCTTATGCTCAACCAGATAGTACGGTAGTGACTAGTGATGGGCGATACGGACGCGTATCGCGATACAGCGATACGATACGTATCGGAAAAAAATATCGTATCGCCGTATTGAATCGGGCGTCTGTATCGCGATACGCGAATCGTATCGTCAAAAATATCGAAAAACGATACGTATCGTATCGTTTCCCCCCTCCCCTACCGAACCTATAGAAACGGAAAATTTATACAAGTACCTGGGGACCAAGCTTTGCTCGGGGAAAATCATTAGTTTACTCTGAAAACAGTCTTAGTATTGCAGATACATTAATCCATTTCCACATTCCACACTGCTCGCCTTTACTACTTCCTTCACAACTTCCTACGTCTTGGACCAGTTTGCCTATCCTTCCCATAGCATTTTAGGATTGCAGATACATTAATGTAATTGCCTCAGACAGTTCCACACTCTGCACTGCTAGTGCTAGATAGCACGCTAGTGGAAATGGACTGGACTGGGATGGGACTGGTACATTATCAGGAAAAACCAAAAATCACTGAGCTATAATTCTAACTGGAGGTAGCACTGAATGTCAACGATGCGTGTCGCCAGCCGCCATGTTTGCGTGAGGTGTGAGTTATAAATAAGCCATTTTATTGGATGAAAAAACTCACTGCTATGCAAACCTAGTTATAGAAGCCATGTTATTGGATGAAAAAACCTGCTGCTATACCAACCTAACAAAATCAGCGACACGCTTTTGACAGACTTCTGCCATGGCAGTGCTACCTCCAGTTATAATTTTAGCTCAGTGCCAAAAATACAGAAAAATATCAAAAACTCCTATTTCAAACTACACATCCACAGAGTACAGATTTTGCAGTTTGCTTGGCCTGCGCAAAAAAATCTTAAAAATATCGTTCTACGTGAATCGTATCGCTCTATGTGCCGATATAAATACAAATATCGTTTTAGGCGATACGATACGTATCGTTTTTCAAATATCGTATCAAAATATCGTATCGTCCCTAGCGTATCGCGATATTCCAATACGATACGATACGTATCGCACATCACTAGTAGTGACTCCAGTCTATCTATTCATCTCTATGGTTATAGTAGGCCTACTTACGGAGTTTGGTGGTAATTTAACACTCAAAACCAGATTATTTAAACACAGTAATTGAGCTCCAGTTGTAAAAGCGCTTGCAATAAATACGTTAATTGTAGAATTCAATGAATTTTGGGATAGAAGTCAACATTTTGACATTTTAGGTCAAAACTTTGAGAATATAAGTCAAAATTTTGAGATTAAAATCCAAGTTTTTGAGATGAGAAGTCAGAATTTTACAAAAAAAATATTACTCCATGGCCCTTCTAAAAGCCGTACAAACATGTAGATTCTACAGTTACTGTAATAATATTGCTCAGGGTGTCCCTATAAGAATGTATAGTACAAATAATAATTACGGAGTAGATTTTTGGGTAAAAATAAAAAAATTAAGAGTATCATTTTTGCTAAAAAATACCTCATTAGCGAGATATCCATTATTATGTTTTTTGTGGCTTTTTATGAATAGATTAAGAAATATATTGTAGGCTAACTAATGTTATTTGATGAATAAAGATTTTATTTGAACTGGTTATGATTTTACATGTGGTAGGAGCCACCGCTTTTTATCAGTAGGCTACAGTTCATCCCACGATTACCAAAAAAATACTAGAAATTTCTAGTAATCGTGGTTCATCCTAAGGCTGTACCGGCTCACCTTTGCTTTGTTGGATACCTTCCAGGCACATTCCTCTGTGGCCAATGCGGACAGGCATAAGAAAAAAGGCTGCCAACCTTTAAAAAAAATTTGAAAAATGGTATTCTCTGTTTTGGTCATCAAACATTGTGATCTAACATTTTTTGCGATTTATATATTTATTTCAACTGCAATCACCATTTTATTCCACTGTGTCATTCCGGATTCCGGGTTTCTCTAAAATTTTCTAAATCATGCTTAAATAATATATTTAAACAACTTATCTTAAATAAATAAAACTTCTAAAGAACAACAACATATCTAACTAATATAGGCTAAATAAAACTCAGACTATTTAAGTTTTAAATGTTTTATTATAAAATCTCTTTAAAAAACAACACACTAACAAGTTGGTCCTGTTTAACACCTTACATAATAATACTATAGCCTCCTCTAATACAAGGGTATGTAAACAAAGATTGTCCAGAAATCCATTATTAATTATTTAATACAAAAGCTTTGTTCAGGGGCTGTGTGTGGCACTTTTGTTCAGTAGCGGCATTGGATTAGAGGAGACCTATATTGTACTCAATAATTTTTACTGACCAAATCTAAAAAATAAAAGAAAGACAAGTGTTTGTAAAAAATGTCAATAAAACACATTACACTCATTCAGGTACAGTAACAAAAGCAAAACCTTGAAAACATAACAACTCAACTAAAATTATAAGAACAAGAAGTTCAATAGTAAGAACACCTAATAAAAACAATGTTTTAATAAATATATACATCTAAATTGTAAGTTACTGATATAGCATGTAAAATATAAACCAAAACTGATAAGAACTATTTCTGGATATACAGTACATCTTGTACAAGCGAAGATAACAAAAAATTATTACTCAAGTAGATAGTTTATAACTATTATTATTGTTCATTTTGTTCATTGTTGAATGCTTTTGTTGTATTGGTGTTTTGACAAATGAACTCAATAAAGGTAAGAAATAATTACGATACGATAAACTAACCAGCTTAATGTTTTTTTTTATCTGCCTCAATACAGGTGACATTAAATCTTTTAACATTGCATTAGGAAATTGTGTAAAATTAAATTAATCTCATTCAAAAGTAATGAATAGGACAACCAATTGCAAACTCTGTATGATACTATATATACACAAAGGGGACCATCAAAAAGTGTTATTTTAATCTGAGAAGAATATTATATGTCAATATTATCATAAAGCATATGATAATCAAGCATATTAAAATATGTGGGCCTAGCCTAAATTTTTAAATTTTAAATAATTAAATCATGGAACCCAAAATTTAATATTATAACAAAAACAGAACTACTTGCAGCAATTCAGCAGCTTTTGTCCAAATCTATCTGTTTGGACTTTTGTTGATTTTGACCACACAGAATAACATTAATAGAGAAGAAGCGAATAGAGAAGAACTATATTTTTTTTTTAATTTAGACAACCACACAAATAAGCAAATAAGCTAGAAAAATTTTTGTCCACAGCTGCATTTGATTTGCGTGTTCCTTTAGTGTTTATTAAAGTTATATGTTCCTGTAATACAGTTTATCAGCATCCTACTTTGTCAAACATCCATGTTCATCCTGCAGTGTGCTTTGGTCTTCGAGGATGAAGTCTATGCCTAGTTGTATTTACTGTAATACTGTTTAGA